CTGGCTGGGGAATTCTGGGAGTTGAAGTCCACTCATCTTAAAGTGGCCAAGTTTGGACAACACTGTCATAATGTATATTCTAGGATCCTTTTGGAGAGATCAGTGCCCCTTATAAAGAGGAACTCACAGGGGATAACATCCATCTTCTCAAAGCTTTCCTCACTCAGACAGGACTGGAGTCCTTCCTTCAAGAGTTGCATGAAATGATCATGCTGAAACTGAAACATGCTCGGGCTGGAGAAGAGTTCAATCCTACATGGAGGTAAGCGCGTGAGCAGCCCAATCTAGATCCTTGCATGTCAATTCACTTTGGTGCTTGTGGTGAAATGCATCCTATTTTGCCACACAACAGCAGAGGAGCTTGGTTTTTTTGTGCTTATCGTTCTTCCTTTTTTCCAGCCTTAAATATACGCTTATTTCATATCTTCAAATAAAAGGCAGCAATGTGCTTCAGGACTTGGAGGCTACGTTCCCAGAAGATATCCAGGTGTCTCAGTGTATCGCTGCCTGGAAAATGGCTGCTCTTCTTAAACGGGGTTGATGCAGTCCAGGAAATTAATCCAGATGCTTTTCCTCCCTCCGTTCACTTACAAGCAGAACACTGTATTTAACTTTTGTTTTTTATTTATACTTGTACAGAATGAAAGGCAGGAGATGACAAACTTTTGCACTCACAGTGATCCTAAACTAAACGATCATGGTGCTATAGGTGAATAAATAGTGATGCACAAACATAAAAGAATTGGTGCCTTAGATAATGAAGGATTTCTAGAAAATACAAGTTGGATAGGTACACTGCATTCAAAGGAAAGTATTTTCATTGTTACAAACTTCTAAAAGGACCATGTAATGTCTATAACTTTGGGTTTATAAGCTTGCTTACAAACGTTCCCCTTTAGTTTGTTTACACTGGCAGGAGGCAGAGAAATATTATGCTTTCCCTCAACTTCTCTGGATTTTCTATCAAAAACGCCTTTTTTATTATCAGGGACATAATTTCTTTGTAATTTTTTTCTCATACACTGAGTTGCCTGCTTCTCTGAGATTATGTATCTAAGCAAGGCGTGCTAAAGCTCAGTCAAGGAAGCAGTTCACATGGCTACCTTCAACCCTGATCCAACAAAGTGACCTCTCCAGTTATTCATAGTTCGATGTCATTGCCAAGGTTGCTCCTAACCTATCTTTCTGCTGCATTTTTGTTGTAAGGGACAGGTTTAGTTCATAGGTATGTTCTCCCTGTCCCCAAACCACTTTGCATTCATGGGAAGCCCAAAATCATATCGTAGCAGATTGTGGAAACTTGTTTTTCTTGATTTGATACTAATATGTTAATTTATAGCTGAAATTAGTATTTTTGTTTGAAATTTCAGTTGACTCATTAGATTCATAACTCTGATGAAAAACGATCACAAATTTCTCTTTGGGCTGAACAATAGATATATGTTGGCAGAATACCAGTTAAAGCACACTTCTTGAATCTTACTGAAGAAGGATATGATAGAATGCTAGCTATAGTGAATAAAATAGAATCAGGTAACAGTCCCTTAGTAACTATTCAATAAATAATTGAAATTTCATTTAGAGCTATTATGTTAGCTTCTCAGTGCAGTTAAGATGACATTCAGCTATTTTAAGATTCTATACATAATTGACACAAGAAAAACGGAAAACATCTTTGGGCATAAATACTGTTTCAGAGGAACTAAGCCCTATTAACCACAAAAATAACTTGTATTTCTGTTTGGGGATAATATGCCTATATTTTAGAATATTTAGATCAAATAACAAACGAGTAATTCTCTCAGGGAGAAAGTAAAGTAGATAAGAATCAAGCAAGTATGTAAGTCAACCATCCAACCATGTTTTACTGCTACTTTAAAATGTATGTTCTTTGTAAGCATTTTAAGAAAGTCTCAATAGGCCATGAAGTTGCACTTCCTTTGGCTGACTAAGCTTTTTCTAAGAGACCTTGGAAATTATTTCATTTTCCTGTTTAGAGACCAATATCTACTAACAGCTTTTGGCTGCCAAATATGAGTATTTAAATAGTTCTGTACTTGGTTTCACTAATTAATTGACATTTGTAGAAAGTTATGCATTGGGCATTGTCATTCCAAGCCTGTCTAGGGCTTCAATGTGAGACAAGGAGCTTGTGCTCCTCCTGGGATCATATGGGGATGATGTGTTAATACACTTGCTGTGCTGGCAGGGAACAGTACACCTAGACTAATTGATTTTCCAGTATTCAAAAACTGCAATTTATAAACATTACTTTGTAGTCTTTTTTTCTTCTAATAAAAAGTCCTTGTTACAAAAGTATTCAGACTACGTTCCTTATTCCTTATATAGCAAGTTGTAATTATATCGCCTTTCTTGAGCTGCCAGACATGATAGTTCGGTTATACTAGTTAACTGACATTTAGTTAATTGACATTTAGCAATTCACCAATGCTAAAACCTTGAGAAATTTTACCACAGATCATGTCTTCAAAGAACAGAGCATTTACCCACATCTCTGCAGTGCGGTGTGAATCTAATCCATGAACCATAGATTTACTTTTTCAGAGGGGATTGTTTGTGAGCAAGACCTATTGTATTTGCACCTTCTACAAGAGTCAGGATATCAATAACACACATTTTAATCCTTGGTGCTGTATGGCACCTTTTATTTCCCAAGTCTCAATAAAGCCAAATAAAAAGACTTGAGACGAGGCTTCTTT